AGATAATAGTCGTCTCGACAGACACAATAGACTAGTCTTTATGTTTGCACATCACTTGAGACCCATTCCCATCTCGCAGACACCTTTCCCTTTATTGTATAAGATATGTGTTTTAGTTGTGTAGAAATCTTAGCGCCATTACGATTGCTATTCATTATATGAATCGTGGAATTTAATATAATATTTATTTTTATGATATATTTTTTCTCTCATTTCGTGGGCACACAGACAGCATATGTTTGGCCGTATATCTAGGCACTGGCAATATCGTGGTGTACAGCCTTCCCAGTCTCCGACTGCTGATTGATATCGATTTTCTGGCGCTGACTGATGTCAGGTATGTCCCCAAAGCCTATTAGTTTGAGTTTTGTGCGCTATTTTGAGTGACACATGCATTGAGTCTCTCTCTCTCTCTCTCTCTCTCTCTCTCTCTCTGCCATTAGTTTCGCTTTTCTCTCATATTTATATTGCTTTTAATGTATTGAACCGATTGTTTGACATCTAAGAAAAGTCAGATTCAAAATACATTTGAATGACATTTCGGTGGGTATTGTATGGAAATGTATAAAACGCTTTCCTCTTAGTATTGATACCAATACTGAGCGCCGACATCACAAACACACAGGAAATTCATAGGAAGTACTCTCCTATTCACGTATACATACTCTCTATAGACTATCGATTCACTCACGAATATTCTGTACGGAATATTCTGTATTACGAATTCTTAGCCCATAGTCGGAAAGGCATTTAAATTTCAAATTCTGTAAAGAATTTCATACAGAATTCAATCCAATTATACAAATGCGAGACTCAATGCTAGCTCAATAAATGAGCGCAATAATGATAATCAAAATGTTTAAGCTCAATACAAAAAGTAACCATGCTTATTACTACACACTAGGATCGCGCGCACAATATGTTTCAGCGCCAACGGGCACGGGATGTACATGTCGTCCCCGTCGACGCTCACGAAGTTCACGATATTGTCGTCGTTTCGCGACCTCATGGCCGATATGGTGGGCACACTGTTCACGGCCGCCAAAGAGCTCCCGGAGCCGCCAAAACCGACGTTCCTGAAGAGCCTGTTCGGCGGCGGCACCAGTAGTCTCGATCGGGAGGAGCTGTTCGGCGAGAGCAGCGCGGGAAAGCCGTCGAAAACGACTGCCCGTCACATCCCGGGCACCTCTGCCGGCATGGAGCAGATGAAGGCGCAGACGGGGACTATGGCTGCAGAGATGGCCAGACTTAGAGAGGTATGCCTTACGGACACACCTAATATTTTCTTATGTGTAGAATAATTGAGAATATTCTTAGAGTTGGAGTGATATATACAGAATATTCTATACTATATATACTGGTATATGTCTTACGTTTAAATCATTGATTAAGTAATATGTGAAATAATTGAGAATATTCTTAGAGTGAGAGGAATATACAGAATATTCTATGCATTGAATGCATATATAGTATAATATGTGGCTATAAATGGAAATAATTGCGAATATTCTTCGAGTGATAAGAATAAACAGAATATTCTATGCACTGAATGTTATGTTTGTATTCCCTATTGAAATGAAATCTAACGACAATTCTGTAGACAATTGTTTGTTAGCGAACTGTATTGACACAAAAGTCTCAATTCTGTTGAGAGATTTCTATTTTATTTTATTTATTTTATTTGCTCTGAAATTCTTGACGTTTTAAATCCTATGACGGGTGAGAAATCGCGTGAATATACATAAAACTCAATGTGTATTAACGTGTCGATTGGCGTCAAAAAAGTGTTTGTTTGGCTAAAACACACCGAAAACCCTGTGCCTATGGATGTGACACATTTTGAAGGGAACGGTAGTGTTAAATGTCTAACAAATTCTCGTCGACTGGCGCTCTCACCAATAGTTTTAGTCAAACAGTTTACACATCACTTGTGTTGAGGACTTCATCGACGGCTACAGTCTTTAGTTGTCTCCCAAATGTCTGTCATTTGCTGTTTGGCGCAGATCTGTGTCAACGGTTTTGTGTCATTAATAGACTTTTCTTGCCATACAATTGACGACTCAATTGTTTCAAGCGTTTGTCATATTTCTCATCTCTCTCTCTCTCTCGCGTCGATAATCTATTTTATTATCCATTAATTTATAGCAATTTTTCACTTTCCATTATTAAATCAATTCCCGAGTCTTATAGCGAAAAGTATAGCTAACATGCGATACATAAAGTGCACATAAAATATAATTGAAACATTGATTTTCAATCAATGGATACATGATTAATAAAAATGTGCTATAGTTTGAAAAGCTGGCGATCGATGGGTGAAATAAATTGAGATTAAATCCCATTCAAGAGATTGTAAATCCAAATGAAAATCTAATTAACAATAAATTGAGATTAGGAGCAAAATCTTAGACTTATTTTTGGGCACAAAGTATTGATTTTTAGCATACATTCATCGCTTACTACTTATAATATTCTGTGTATTCATCCCATAATTCTACAGTAAAACCAAAATAATATCTAATTATATATGCATTACATTCGTGAATATTATCCATATTTAGTATGCATTCATTGGTAACTAGTTATGAAATCCCGTATAATTATCGTTATAATTGAAATCATATGTAATTAATATGTTTTTAATCCCTATTTCGTAGGGCCTGTCGGAAAGGGGTGAGAAAGTGGCTCAACTCGAGGACCGGACGGCTCGCATGGCATCAGAGGCCGAGTCTTTCGGATCGGCCGCCCATAACGTGATGCTGAAGTATAGGGACAAGAAGTGGTACCAGATTTGAGGCGGCGAGACAATGGCTGTCCACTGTCTGACACATACACGTTCTTCCGATACATACATTCATCCAACAAATAACAGACAAAACAAAACTCAAAACACTAAGCGATTCAATGTAACTCTCATTTGCGACAAAACAATACTTTTTAAATACAAATCAAATGCAAACCAAAAACAGCGATTGTATTGAATATATAATGAGATAAACATTTCGTTTGTTAGTGAAGTTTTGCTTGAATTATGATATAATAGTGATTTACGAGTAACTGATTGCGAGAGAGATATTTATTTTACACACTAAATACACCCCAAAAAATAATTAACGAAATCATTAAAACTACAAAACGGATATGTAATGATAAGAAACAAAATACCAATTTATAAGCAATTCATGAAATGATCAAAACTTTTTTGAGATATAAATACCGAGATTCCGATTCGCGTCGAGTTTTTAGTGTATAATAAAGTTATATATATAATAAGTATATAAAACAGATTTAAAACCACAAAAACATGTGTTTAATGAGAAAATTATATTTGAATTTTTTTTGGACAATCGATTTATTATTAACGTTTGTATTGAGAAATGTTTTCATTAGTAAATGCAATCACAAACTCCTGATTATAGAAATTATTTGTATGTATGTATGGGCTCTCTATCTGTATCTACCATTCCCCCACCTATTCACTGGTGTTTTAGTATTTGTTTTAATTATTTTGAATTAATTTCCCGTTTATTTTGAAAGTATTAGTAATTTTTAACGAATTAATTAATATTAATTTAATTTCAATTGATAATTGGTTTTATATTTTGAATACAAAAATAGCAAATTTACTGTTAATTATCACTTGAATGTCAGTTTTATTTTGTTTGTATGAAATGTTTTTTTATTTTGTATTCATATTTATTATAATCCACTCATTTGTTCAGGTTCAAATATGTTGTGTTTTTGAAAAGTCACTTCAAATCTCTTAATCCTATTATTTAAAAGTTTATTTAATTTTAATTTATTATATCTCAATAGGTATTGCAATTGTTAGGTATAATAAGATTTTTAAATTATTATCTATGTTATCAAGTTGTATAATTGTTATTATTTAGCCAATTTATTACCTGCTATTTATTGTTCCCATTAATTACCTTGTTATTAGAGATTTTTAAATATCCAACAACAAACTAATACGTTTTCGGAGTTTATGTGCAATCAGTTATAAATACATATACATGTATATATACATGAAATATATATGTATATACTTGTCATACAATTAATTGTTAATTAATCTCGAAAGTGAAAAACTGATGTAATTTGAAAATACATTATATTTACGTGTTTTTTATACATTTCATTTAATGAAACAAAAATATATAATACAAACAATTATCTCGACAAAAATACCAAAAAATCATTTTTTGAGCTCAAATTGAATTAAATGATGCAAAAAAACAAATACATATTAAAACATATTGTTTCAAAAACATACATGAACACATTTATGATGATTACTTTTAGCATTATTATTATTATTGTTATTATTATCGGTATTATTACTATTAAACAGATTATTGTTTTTTCTAAACCAAAAGTGCAAACAATGACCACAAATATAAATATATCTAAAAATTATATAATAGTAACGCATTT